CTGACAGTCACGAAACTGGTTCCTCTGGCCAGTGTCAATGTCACCCGCCAATGCAACGTTGCCGCCTACACCCGGGACGAATTGGCAACAGAGTAACGCTCGGGTGGTAAATACTCGGCACCGAAACTTGGCGGCGACGAGGCAAGTTTCACGTTCTTCCCTCCCCTTCCTCCTCTTCTTCCTCCTCCTCCTCCTCCTCCTCCCGTGTAATTCATTTCCACTCCCACGCTTCTTCTCCGGCGTTCGCCTCCTACGTCCGTTTCTAATTTGGGAGTTATTCTTCTTGTCTTTTTTTCTTCCCACATCCCCCATCTCCATTTTCTGCTCACTTCTTCTTCTTCTTCTTCTTCTTCTTCTTCTTCTTCTTCTTCTTTTCTTCCTCCTCTTCCTCCATATCCTCCCTTTTCTTTATTTCATCTCTTTCTCTGTTTTCCCCCTCCCCCTCCTTCACCTTTCCCCTTCCCTTCCCACCCCCTTCCCCTCTTCCCTCCTCCTCCTCCCGTCCCCTCTCCTCCTCCTCCTCCTCCTCCTCTCCTCCTCCTCCTCTCCTCCTCCTCCTCTCCTCCTCCTCCTCTCCTCCTCCTCCTCTCCTCCTCCTCCTCTCCTCCTCCTCCTCTCCTCCTCCTCCTCCTCCTCTCCTCCTCCTCCTCCTCTCCTCCTCCTCCTCCTCCTCTCCTCCTCCTCCTCTCCTCCTCCTCCTCTCCTCCTCCTCCTCTCCTCCTCCTCCTCTCCTCCTCCTCCTCCCGTGTAATTCATTTCCACTCCCACGCTTCTTCTCCGGCGTTCGCCTCCTACGTCCGTTTCTAATTTGGGAGTTATTCTTCTTGTCTTTTTTTCTTCCCACATCCCCCATCTCCATTTTCTGCTCACTTCTTCTTCTTCTTCTTCTTGTTCCTCTTCTTCTTCTTCTTCTTCTTCTTCTTCTTCTTCTTCTTCTTCTTCTTCTTCTTCTTCTTCTTCTTCTTCTTCTTCTTCTTCTTCTTCTTCTTCTTCTTCTTCTTCTTCTTTTTTCTTCTCTTCTTCCCTTCCTCACACCCCTCTCCCCCTACCTCTCTCCCCCTCCCCCCCTCCCCATCCCTCCATTAAGCTAATCTCTCCCCCCCCCCTGATCTCAAATTTATCGAGTAAATTTGTCGGGACCGCGACGGGTGAAAGCGTTCGTCCGTCCAGCCGCGCCAGGAACCGTCGGCTGAGTGACGGAGAAGCGGGGCCGGTTGAAGACAGCGGATTGGAGCGACCGAAGGAAACCTGTGTACGTATGGTAATAAGTGAAGAAGAAATCGCGTTGAAATGGCTAATGACATTTCCAACGATCACTGATGCAAATGTATTTCAACGTGATTATAAATATCTCCACACATACAGAAATCTAAACTGTGAGTGCGTGATGGGTGGGGGATCTATCTATTTATCTATCTATCTATCTATCTATCTATCTATCTATCTATCTATCTATCTATCTATCTATCTATCTATCTATATATAATACATACATACATACACACACACACACACACACACACACACACACACACACACACACACACACACACACACACACACACACATATATATATATATATATATATATATATATATATATATGTGTGTGTGTGTATATATATATGTATATATATATATATGTACGTATGTATGTATGTATGTGTGTGTGTGTGTGTGTGTGTGTGTGTGTGTGTGTGTGTGTGTGTGTGTGTGTGTGTGTGTGTGTGTGTGTGTGTATGTGTGTGTATGTGTGTGTATGTGTGTGTATGTTTGTGTATGTTTGTGTATGTTTGTGTATGTTTGTGTATGTTTGTGTATGTTTGTGTATGTTTGTGTATGTTTGTGTATGTTTGTGTATGTATCTGTATGTATCTGCAGGTGTATGTGTATGTGTGTGTATATCTAGACCCAAGGCCCGCAGCCCCCCACTCCAGAAATCGCACCGAAACGCGACGCGCCATTAGCACTTCATTAACGGGGATTATCTGCGCGCCATTACGCGAGAGAGAGCGACACGAAAGGGGTCCTTCGGCTTCGTGGCGGAGGCGGCGGCGCTGGGGAGGTTTCTGTTGGAGCTCGGTGCGGGAACAGCCACTTGTGTAAAGGGTGAATGGACATAGATAGATAGATAGATAGATAGATAGATAGATAGATAGATAGATAGATAGATAGAAAGACAGACAGATAGATAGACAGATATATAAATAGACAGATAGATAGACAGACAGATATAAATAGATAAATAGATGGATAGATAGATAGATAAATAGACAGATAAGACAGACAGACAGACAGACAGATAGACAGATACAGATAAACAGATGGAAGAGAGAGATAAACAGATAGATAGAGAAATGGATAGATAAACAGACGGATGGAGGATGGATAGATAGAGAAAGATAGGAACGCAGAGACGGGAGGAAGAGAAGAGAGACTGAGACCGTGATATTCGATTTGAGGCGAAAAGGGGGGGAATAGGAAGAACAGCAGACGAAAGACAGAAGCAAAACAAAACAGAGCAAAAAAGAAAACAAACGCGGAAACAAAGAGCAAAAGAACGCGGGAGGGAAAAGAGAGAGGGGGGGGAGGGAAGTTTCTGCGTAGTTTCGTAACAAAATTAATAAAAGGGAGGAGGAGGAGGAGGAGGAGGAGGAGGAGGAGGAGGAGGAGGAGGAGGAGGAGGAG